CCTCTCTGTCGGGACAGCACGCCCTCACCTTGAACAAGGTAAGCTACAACATAGACTTTTGGCCTAGGTGACAGGTCGGATGAGATAATGAAATAATTACCAAAGGATATAAGCAGATGTTGAAGACAAGAAGAATGTTAAGTTTTTCTATCTCTCTAATCCATATCTATACATTCCGCTTCTCTCTCTCTAACTTGCTCGTCGGAGGGTTCGCTGGGGGACTCCCCGTTCCCCGTTGAACTCCTGTGTAGGTTCTCAGGTAGGCTTGGCCATTCAGATATCGGTTGGAGAAGCGTGGACCAGTCCGACCCATTCCCTCTGGAACTCGTTGTATCGTAACTGTATCATCAGATGTGTTAACATTACTCTCTCTCTATACACGTGTGTATATTAATATATATGGAAAAAAACTATGGAATATATTCTTTAAACAGTGTGCACCATATGTATCTTATAACTAAAGAAAAAAATAACATAACCACATACTTTTTGAGTTATAACTATAAAAAAAAAAGAAATTATAACTAAACACCACATAAGATATAATCAAAGATCTTATGAATCATAACTAAAATATTGCTATAATTAAAGAAAAAAATAGATTATAACTAAAGAAAAAAATGACATAACTAAAAGTGCATATGGTACATCCCTTTCAAAAAGTGTTTATAATATAATTTCCATATATATATATATATATTATCTCTAACTTTTATTAGTATCCCTAATTTAAAGTTACAAAATCATTCCACTTTTCTCTATCGCTTCCTTTATTTACCCCACTCTCTTGATATGATATGGAATAGGGTTGGGCACTACAAACTTATCCCGTTATCATCCTAGTCATAAAAAATATTAGAACATCCAAAAAGACAGTTAAAATTAGGGTCCAGCTTGTCTCAAGTTGAGATCAAGACTGGACCCGTTCAGTTCGGCACATGGGGTCCATTTTTGGGCCCCGTTTTGATAATCTGAACCGTTCAATGTGTAGAAATCGTCGAGTACTATATGCTTGTAAAAAATTACGTTGATCGGATATCAATGGCTATGTGATTAAATCAGTTTTGTATAAAAAAATAGACGGTGAAACAATTAACGGTTGATAAAAAACTGTTTTGTTCACATAACTATCGATATCCGATCAACGTGATTTTTCATAGACATTAAAGTTACAAAATCATTCCACTTTTCTCTATCGCTTCCTTTATTTATCCCACTCTCTTGATATGATATGGAATAGGGTTGGGCACTTCAAACTTATCCCGCTATCATCCTAGTCATAAAAATTATTAGAACATCAAAAAAGACAGTTAAAATTACGGAGCTGCTGCAGAGCTCTAATTAGAGCTGCTGCAGTACATCTCTAATGAGCTGTTCATGAATTACTAAAAAAAAAAAAAACAGTGAAGTAAAAGACAAAAAAGAAGAAAGAAAAAGACAAATTAAAGCTCTTTTAGAGCTCTTTTTTTAGAGGTCTAGATCATTTTTCTTAAAATTATACGTTGATTGACAAAAGTAATAAAAATGAGATCCAATTTTATGTGTTAAGTATGTTAAGGCATTATTTGGGAAGTGGGTTTGGAACTAAAATAGTCACAAAAAACAAATTAGGTTTTTTAGTTTCAATAAGACAAAACATCACATTATTACATTCTTTCTCTCATAAAAAAATTAAAAAAGTCAAAAATCCTTCCTAAATTAAACTTTTTAACCCTAGACTAAAATAATCAAAAAATTTAAAAAGTTAAAAAATCAACCAACTTCCCAAACGGAGCCTAAATGAGGGAGTGAATAAAAAATTTAAAAATAAAAGAAAAGCCTTTTCTCCTCCTTTTGTTCACTTTGTCTCTTTCATCTTTTATTTATTTATTTATTTTTAACTCTGTCTCTTTTATCTCTTTGTCTACTCCCCGTCTCTCTCCATTGCCATGGCAAAAGCTGTCCCCACTCCCACTTTACTCTTTCTTTTTACTTTGTTAGTATTCTCTACATTGTTTTTCATTTTTATTTTTTACCAACAAAATAAAAATTTTATTAAAAATATAAAATTAAAAATACACAAAAATGAAATGTACCGAGAGAAATTTAGAGAATTAAAACTCTCTTACTCCTATGCTCGTAGCTACACAACCAACTCTTTGGCTTCAAGATATCTTTTTTCTTAAAATTTTTAAAAAACAAAACAACAAATATAATAAAAACAATAATTAAGTAGATTTTAACTACACGATACTAACTTTATTAACGATGCAAGTAACAAACTTTGTTTTAGGGAGCCATTTTGGCGATCTCTTTGGAGCAAAATAAAAACACAAATATATTGTTAATTCTGTCATAAAATGATTTACACTAATGGATTCTATGAAGAAAGTCTGTTGGAGATGTTCTTACAAGTTGTCTTGGTGAGAAATGATAATATCATATAAATTATTAGGGTTGGCCATTGATTTGGAGATCCCATTTTTTTTTTTTCCTTTCTATTTTTTAACATTTATTTTTTATTGTGTAGATAAAATTTTAATAGTTCCCTAATCACAATTTAACCTCAAAATAATATTTTAAGAATGTAATTATTTATTAATACGGAGACAAGTTGTGAAGGCCCCGTTTGTTTTGAGCAATAGAAGAAATGATTGAGATTAGGATTGAGGTAGAATTCACTAACATTGTGTTTGTTTTGGGAGATAGAGATGGGATTCATAATCCTCTTCGGATTGGGATGGGCCTTGAGGAGGGGATTAGGATGGAGGCTTGAAACTTGATATTAGAAAATAATCTGCCAGACTATTTTTTTTTTATTATGTTTTTATTTTTTACATGTTGGGGCATTTTTTTTGAACATTAATGTTTAATTTTTTTTTTGTATTTTTTGTTAAGTAAAAATCATAGTTTTATTTGTTTTAGTTTTATTTTATTTTTTACATGTTGGACATTTTTTTTGAAGCATTAATGTTTAATGTTTTTGTATTTTATTTATTTGTTTTATTATTTATATTTATTTTATATAAAAGTAATTTAACAATTTCAACACCAACAATTATTATCAAAACAAATATAATTTTATTTAATTCCTTCACTAACGACATGATCACTATTAATCCATTGCATTCTACCTTGAAAACAAATGGACCCAAGGGTAAGGGTTGCATCAAGATGGCGTTAGTGCCATGTTGTATTAAATAATTGGATGTCAGTTTGTAATTGGACGTCGTTGAGAAAAAAAAAAAAAATCAAGCATTTTAGAACGTAGAAAATGAGGATAATTACTAATATTTCTCATGAGGTTTGCTTAAATGCTAATTATCCTTTATAGTTATGAAATTTGCATCATTTTTTCAAAAATTTCTAATTACATAATAAAAAAATTACTTCATTAATTAATTATTAAGTTAATTAATAATTTTTAATGATGTCAACAATATAATTGAGTTAGTAATTCTGATAATTTAATTATTATATAGAAGGATAGTTAAAATTTTATTTTTGTGTCAGTTCTGTTAAAAGATTTTTTTTTTTTAATATTTATAATTTTTGAGAAGAATACAATAGATAACGGGTCAAAACCGGAATTGTAATAGCAGAGAGAATGAAAATAAAGAAGGTAAATGGGCATTAACATCATTTTACATTTATTATTAACAACGTTAGTATTACTGTTTAGTCTAAAATGTAAGAGAGGTTTTAGCTATTTTCAAATGTAAGGGAGGTTAAATACTCCAAGACAATACTACAATAAGGTAAAATAGATTTTACCCTGTTAATTATTAAAATTATAATTTTTAACATGAAATTGTAATCATTTTTTAAAAGTATCACCGTGATACAATAAATATTATATATATATATATATATATATATATTTTTATAATCAAACTATATGAGTATTTAAAAAAATTATTTAATACTACCCAAATAAATATATGTGGTGTCTCAATTTGATTTTTATTAGTTTAGATAGTGAGACTCATCAATTATAGGTTATTTTTGGAAACATACCATTTTATGTATACCATATACAAGTTATAATATTTATGATATTTATTACTACAAATATAGTAACTAAGATGGTGTACCATATACCAGTTATACCGTTTATAGTGTTAATTACTACAAATGTATTAACAAACTTTTTTTAGTCACAATAAAAAAAAGAAGAAGTTATAACTAAACAACATAAGGTATAATCAAAATAATAATGACACATTTAACGAATATCAATAGAAATATCTATAATATTAAAATAACTAAACTAACTCTTCTATTATTGTCGTTAGTCACACATGGGAGGTTAATGTAATTTCAAAAAAACAAAAGGGATAATTGTCAAAAATCTTAAGAGAGGTGATTGAAATTTAGGCCTTGTTTGAGAAGTAGTTTGGGACTAATTTAGCACACTAAAAGACAAAATATGCACACACAAAAAAAGAAGACAAAATAAGCTAAATAAAAAAGTCAAACTAAAAAAGTTTTAAGCTTCATTTGGCAACTATTTATTTTAACTTTAAAGTGAAAAAGTTATGAAAAAAAATCAACAAATTATAAAAAACAAAAAGAGAGAGTCTCCATTTGGTTTACCTTTAGAATTGTGATTTGAGCGTGGATTTATATTTTGAAAGATAAGTTTTTGAAATGAGTTTTGAAAAGAGAAAACTTGTTTGATTATAAAAGTTTTGAGTTGTATTTTGAAATTGTTTTAAGTTTTTTTTAAATATTTAAAATTTTATTAATTTTATTTTTTAGGGGTATTTTTTTTAAGATCCTTGATATTATGATTTTATAGTATAAAGGACATCAACTATTTTCATGATGTCTAAGGTCCCTCAACATCAATCCAGAGAAATTTCAGTCCAGAGAAAATTCGATCCAGAGAAAATTCAATCCAGAGAAAATTCAACCAGAGAAATTCTCTTCCTCTCTTCAGTGCAATATTTTCATCTTAGACACGATCAAACTTATGAAAACTCAATGAAACCTGTGAACTCAACGTTCTGACCTTTATGTTTTGTGTACTGCAACAAGAAAGGATAGTTATATTTATAGATTGGCGGTGTCGGTAGCATTTACAACTATTAATTCACGGATGAATGAAGAAGAAATTAAAAAACAAAACCAGCCAAGAAAATCAAGCCCAAACAATTGAAAAGAAGATCAATGAATTCAAAAAACACTGGGACACCAACTCAAAGAAGCTTCAACATCACCTGAAAAACCAAAAATTTCATGTTAGATATACCAAGCAACAGCATGAGAGAGAGAGAGTAATCAGAAAAATTGCCACTCTAGCCTAATTTTTATATGTATAATAGACAACAACCTTGCAGCTTCGGTAGAGTTGGATCAACAAGAGGCAATTTAGAGTTGGACCCCCTTGCTTGCCTCGAAAGAAACCGGTCAAAATGAACCCAGAGAAATTTGAATTTTCTCTGGGTTGAATCCAAAGAAAATTCAAATTTCTCTGGGTTGAATTTAGAGAAATTTGAGAAATTCTTGGGGCATGAGCTCCAAGACAGACCACAACCTTGCAGCTTCGGTACAGTTGGATCCCAATTTGGATGTTGAAGCTTCGTTGCAGTCTGCCAAGTACTTTCCAGAAACGTTTTCAAGCCTCAGCTGACCTTCCCTAAACCTCCCACTGTAAATTTCTCTGCCCTCCTAGACTCAACACTCCAGAGAAATTTGAAAATTTCTCTGACTTCACTGGCCTTCCCACAAAATTACCTCTCCAGAGAAATTTAAAATTTCTCTAGCCTCCTTGGCCTTTCATGGACTCTCCACAAATTTCTCTCCCTTCCATATGCTTCCACCGACACATTTTCTGCAACAATATCATAGCTCAGAACATTCAATATGAAATTTCATGAAACACATTAATACACACCAGTGGAAAAACCATTTTGCCACCCTAAACATTTCCAAGCAATGTAAGGCATGGAACCTTCCCAGAACCCCATCAAGCTTTGAAAGTTGAGCATAGACCACAACACTAGGACTCACCCTTGCCTATAGCAAATATACATGACATTAGTACATAGAAAACCAGAAAAAAACAACAGCAAGCCACCAATTCAATAGACAAAAAGTGTTTTAAATTATGTAATTTTTTAAAAGCTTTATACCACCAGAGAACTTTGGTAAGTGGCAAATATGACCAGAGAATTTTCTGTCCAGAGAAATTTTGTCTATCTCTAGAACCTCCGAGAGAATTTCTCAGAGAAAATTTACACAGTGGCCAAAATCTCAGAGAATTTCTCTGGACAGAAATTCTCTACAAAGAAAATGGGTTGGCTCTCTCTCTCTCTCTCTCATGATTTAATGAGAGATTGTTCAGGCCAAGTTCTATGTAATAGATTGAGTAGATGTAGGAGTTGATTCAATACACTGCACTTTTCGTTGCTTTTTATCTGAAATTTCCTAATCATGAATATATATTTCAGTCAACCTTTTTAATTCATGAATAAATATTTCAGATAAATATCATGAATATAAAGCCTTTGCAAGCATTTGCTGGTAAAGTTCTTCAAAATAGGAAATATAGTAATTGAGCTTGATGAAGAACTATACAAGATATGGAATGAACCAGTTAATAGAGGAAGATGGAGATTGAGGATGAAGATATATATATATATATAGAAAGAGAGAGAGAGAGATTGCAATCTTCCCCAAAGCCTGCGTAGCATCTGTGTGTAGCTGAACATTCAATTCCTTGCAAATTTTCCCAATCTCGGTTGTAGATGGATTGAGAACTTTGTCCGTCGGTGACTGTGATTGTGCCGTGGAGCTTCTCTCCGTCGATCAAGCTCCGCGAGAACCTCCCTAAACCTCTCCACCGACACATCTTCCGGCGACATGGCTCTCTCTCTCTCTGTGCGTGTTTGATCGTGGTGACGAGTGAGAGTAGACAAAAGGAAGGGGGCTGAATTTCTCTGTGATAGATGGGAGGACCTTAGACATCAAAAAATAATTTTGTGGATCTCTTCCCTTACGAAAAGTGGGAGAGGGACTCTAGACCAATTTCCCTATTTTTTATTGTGAATATTTATTTATTCTTTTAATATGCACTATATTAACTACATTTGTGTGTTGTATTTATTTTAAATATTCAAAAGTTTAAAAATTTAATTTTTTTTATTTTAAATATTTTCTTTTTTTATTTAAAATATCTTGTTTCATTTTTTAAAAATATTTAATTTTTAAATTTTAAAAATTTTGAATCACAATGATAACAAATTATTTGGCCAATACTTAAAAAATAATTTTTTTTTGAATAAATAAAAAATATTTTTCTTAAAAAATAAAAACAAATGAAAAAAAATAATTTTTCAAAAAAATAAAAAAATAATTATAAAGAACAAAATAAAAAAAATATTTTTTGTTTTAAAAAAAGCATTTTGAAATACTTTGGTTATTAGTTTTAAAAAGACTTTTGAATAGAATATTTGGTTATGAGTTTGAATTTTTTTTAGTGAAATCATGATTCTAAAATAAAACCAAACGCTACCTTCATTTTTTCTTTACTTTTTGCACTTTTTTCGTAAAAAATTAAAAAATCAATCTAAATATATTAATTTTTTACATTATATTTTGGTCAAAAATTTAAAAAAATATTAAAATAAACGAGATTTTCTCCAATTACTCTTGAAAATAAAAGTAAGAAAAGAGTTACTCTATATTTTATAGACAAAGTGTTTTTTTTTTTTTTTTTTTGAACTTACATTTTTTAATAATAGAAGATTAGTTATTGCCTATTGGGGTAGCTGAAGGGTCACTCTCCTTACCTAAATTTTTAAGGAATGAACATTGCTATTCAGATAAAAAATTAGTTCCATTTGTTAAATTTAATGATGTGAGATTTTATTAAATATTTAAATTAATTTGCTCTCTCATTTATTATTTTATTATTAATTAATTATCTTTTTTTTTAATTTTTTTTTATATACAAATCAACCAATTAACTAATTAACATATTACTAAATTTAAAAAATAAATTTGCATACCCTTTGTGTTAGGAAAAGGGCAATGCCTACTTTTTTGCAGGTAGTTAGGGGAGTTATGTGGTCAACTAACCATAGATATTGGATGCCACGTGTGATGTTATAATTAGTGATGGGTCCTAGTGCTTGTAACTGTCAAAACTGACACACAACTCTGGTGTCCAACTTCTTGTTTCCTGCAGCTTGTATGGGCTCTTCTATTGTGGCCCAACTGATCTAGTCCAAATTCTACACTTCTTTAGTCCAGCCCACTTGTTTAGCTTGTCTTACTCATTTGTCCAATCAGACCATTCTCTAGCCCAAATTTGGTTTATCCCAATTTTTGCTGCATTCATTCATTTTGTATCTGATCCAAAAAAAATTAAAAATAAAAATAAAAAATTCATAGTTTGAACTTTTTTCTTTTTTATATTAAAAAGTTTAGGTGAGGTGGCTACTCAATCGAGGGTTACATTAGACTTATACACAGAGGGTGTTTGTTTCAGCTTTTCAAAACTAACTTATAACTTTTAGCTTTGAAAAATTTATTCTGGACTGTTTGGTTAAACTTATTTCAAACAGCTTCTGATTCTAACAGTTTATTTTAACTCAAAAAAGTTGATTCTGAGAAGCTGCTCACCCATTCTTTCTGATTATCAGGTTCTTTTGTGAACATGTTAATTTATGGTTATACTCTTAAATTTTTTTATTTTTTATTTTTTTAAAAATAGAGAAAGACTTAAATGGACTATAGATTATTATTATTATTTTTTTATAAGAAATGTGGACAATTAGTAAATAACAAAAAATAAAAATTAATTAAAAAAGCTATTTTACAGTTTATTTAATAAATACTACTTAGCAATTTAAATCTATAATCCAACAATTACACCAAACAGATTAACAACTTTTGATTAAAGTCATCATTTATAATCTGTTAAGTTATAATCTATAAGCTGTTTTAACAGCTACACTAAACGAGGCCATAGTCCACCAAGAAAGACGGCTGGTAACAAGAACCGAACCTAAGTTTTGAAGGTAAAGAGTTTAATCCTTACCAACTCAATTAATGCACCTTTATTTAACCGCTTATGCCTATTTTTGTACAAATTTAAAAGATGTATATTCCAACATTTTTTTTTTCTTGAGTTGGCAAGATCTTTTTCAGTAACTTTTTAAATTTTTATGAGGCAAAAAAAATTATATATTTGAAATGATTTTTTTAATTAAATAAATAGTTATAAGACTTATATTCCATTTAATATTGTGAAAAAATTTATGACTCATCAAAAAAAAATATTAGTATATGTAAAAATTTTTAACCAAAAAAAAAAAAAAAAAAAAAAAAAAAAAAAACTATGTAATTGAAAATGACACTATTATCACCTTTTATAAATATCATAAGGGACAATTCTATTATACACATCCTATATCATATACTCTTTTAGTTATTTTTTTATTTAATTATGACTAATTTTCTTCTTTAGTTATAACATTATTTTGAGATATTTGATTATTACTTTTTTGCATTTGGTTATAAATACATATATATATATATATATATATATATTTTAATTATGACTAAGAAAATATGAAATTATGCTATTTTCTTTTATAGTTATAAGATGTATATAATACACATCTTTATGCATACCACAATCCTTCCCATATGATAAATTCAAAACTTATGAGTTTTATTACAAAATACTTTTGAGTTTGTTTAGAGTTTTTGGTTTGTCCGAATAAGAAGCTACATTGTAGTACTCGTACCAATATTGGTACACATACGGATAGGGTTGCATATACAAAATACATATTTTATACATTCTTTAACTGTTGGATACTCTTGTGATAGGCACACCAAGTTATGGGATATTGGTGAAGATATGGTTGATTTATTGGAGTTCTAATTTACTTGAATTCTAAATCATTTTGCTTGATAAATCAGATATAAAAGATGTATTATTCAATGATGAAATTAATAGAAGTGAAAATTACAATTCTCTGGTGATGTCGTGATTTATTACACTATATTTAATTGTCAATTTTACTTTTTAAAATTTTTGTCCATGTGCGGGGGTGATTTCCGCACTATGAAGAAGGGTTGAACTTCGTGGATGAACAGCGTGCTTTGGGAATTGAAGATCTGCACAGAATAACAAACGGTGAGGCTGCCCGACCGGGGTTTGGTCAGAAACCCCTCCGATGGTAAAGTCAGGGACTTAAGAAGAAGAAGAAGAGAGAATGGGTGTGTATGTGTTAAGTGTGTGTATTTTTCGGATCCCCTCAGAGCGAATAGTGTTCACCTTTTATAGGAGAAGGTTGTTTGTCGTTCAAGTCCTTCTCTCTCCGCCATCTGTCCAATGTGTCTCATTCGTGGTCGTCTCCTATTGGAGGAGGACGACCACTCCACCTGACACTCGGGTGCAGGTCTGTTTTGTTTGTCTCATTAGCAGACATCTCTCATTGGAGGAGGACGACCACTCCGCCTGCCATTCAGATGCAGGTCTGTCATACATGCACCTTGTCCCTCTGCGCCTCCATGTCTCCACGTTCTGTTCATACAGAGGGGGAGGAGCAGGGTTGTTTGTCTTTTGTGGGCCCAAGAAAGGTCTTTAGTGAATTGGCCTCCTCTAAGTTGGTCTGCTCTAGAACGGTTATCCAACCAGGAGGTCCAGCATGTTGCTCAACCCACTTCGGAGTGGTTTTGTCCATCCAGAAGGTCCAATATGTTGCTCAACCCACTTCGGAGTGGTTCTGTCCATCCAGAAGGTCCACCAT